CTATGACAGATTGAGAGAGAGAGAGAGAATTAGTGAGAGGGATTGTTATAGAAATCTCTCAGCTGTAGAAAGAGAGGGCGAGAGGGGGATGGCAAGAGAGGGAGAAACCTGGAGGTGGATGTGACGGACAGACAGACAGACAGACAGACAGACACTACTCTGGAGGTGGATGTGACAGACAGACAGACACTACTCTGGAGGTGATTGACAGACAGACAGACACTACTCTGGAGGTGGGTGTGATTGACAGACAGACACCTCCCTGAAGGTGGGTGTGATGGACAGACTGACTATTAGAAAAAAGGTGCTATCTAGAACCTAAAAGGGTTCTTCGGCTGTCCTCATAGAATAACCCTTTGAATAACCCTTTTGAGTTCCATGTAGAACCCTTTACACAGAGGGTTCTACATGGAACCCAAAATAGTTCTACCTGGAACCAAAAAGGTGTTCTACCATATTCTATGGGGACGGCCAAAGAACCCTTTTGGAACCCTTTTTTCTAAGAGTGTACTCTGGAGGTGGATGTGACAGACAGACAGATACTACTCTGGCTCAGTATGAAAGAAAAAGGGAGAGTAGAAGGGGTGGGCCCTGACGCTAATGGTCTGGCTGAATTCTGTGTGTTTGAAATGAGTCTTATTTCTCGTACGTTATTTTTCTGCCTTAACTGTTATGCTACTTGTCAGTTGAGTAGCATGTGTTGTATGCTGTATAACTGTACTGTGCCGATATACAGTCAAATCTACTGTCTGCAATAATGGCACTGTTGATGTCATTGCCCTTTCCTGTTATGATGAGATCAAGGATTTCACAACCCACAATAGGCTAAATACGGTTTGTGGAAGACTGACCTAGTTTGGGCTTTTAGGCTGTTAAAAGCGGAGAAAATATTCATAAGCACAAACTGGCCGATCAAGACTAATGTGTGCTGTGGTCGTAATGACAACCTGTCACTTTATAAGACATCTCTGTTCCGCTTCGCTTGTATGGAAATGTTTTCCTAGGGTTGATAGAGAACTAACACAGTGAGTTCTGCAAGGAGGGTTTGGAAAGGAATTTTGTAAAATGTATGCTTATTTATTGTCATCGAAATATGTAATGAGAGAGAGAGAGAGAGAGAGAGAGAGAGAGAGAGAGAGAGAGAGAGAGAGAGAGAGAGAGAGAAGAGAGAGAATAGAGAGGAGAGAGAGAGAGAGAGAGCGAGAGAGAGAGAGATATGAGATATATATAGAGAGAGAGACGCGAGAGAGAGAGAGAGAGAGAGAGAGAGAGCTCATGGCTTTATGTCTGGCCGTGGCTAGATGTTGAGTGGAGGAAGGGAGAGGGTGAGAGGGGTCAGTCTGCTGGGTTTGTTAACTACTTTGGGCATGGTCCCACTCTGTGTAATGGATGTGAATGCTTCTAATCTGCTGGAAGTGAAAGTTTGTCTTACATTAAATTACAGGTCCTGGTGCAGATTGGCCAAACTGTTCCAGATTACCTTTTTCGTATGGGATTAATTATCTCCTGTCCACAATGTGTGTGCGTGCGTATGGTGGAAGGAAGAGTGTGTGTGACAGAGGAAACAAATCTAAATCAAATCAAAGTATATTGGTTACGTACACAGTTTAGCAGTTGTTATAGCTGATGCAGCAAGATGTTACTAGCACCTAACAATGCAGTGAAATATCAAACAGTACACAAATAATAATAAAAAGTAAAACAAAATAATGATATTCCATTTATGATGGGTCTTTTCCTCATGCTTATGATGTAATTCCCTGGCTGTTAATGTCCCCTCACCCCTCCATGACACATGCATGCTGCTGAGATCACTGGGGACTAGTCATCACACACACATCATATGAGTGAGACTGACAATAGAAAATAAACCCTCTATCCTCACCTCTCCTCTCTTTCCATAAGATTAGAGATCTCTCTCCTTGCTGCCCCTAGAGTACATCGCTCTCTTTCTCTCTGTCTCTGTATCTCTGTGTCTCTGTCTCTCTCTCTGTCTGCCTCTCTCTCTGTGTCTGCCTCTCTCTCTGTGTCTGCCTCTCTCTGTCTGTCTGGCTCTCTCTCTCTCTGTCTGTCCTCCTCTCCTCTCATCGCTCCTCTCTCTCCTCTCTCTCTTCTCCTTTCCCCTTTTCCCTTTCCCTAATCTTGCTTCTCCTTCTCTCTTCTCCTCCTCCTTCTCTTCCTCCCTTCCTCTTTTCTCTCCCCGTCCCGCTCCTTCTCCTCTTTTTCCGATCTCTCTCCCTTCCCCGGCTTCCGGTCCTCTCTTCAAATCCCTCCCCTTTTCCACGGGTTCTCTTTGGGGTGGAGTACCTGGCAAGTCGCCTGTCCGGAGATCTAAGGGGCTTCTGCGAATTTCCGGCAGCTTCGTCTGCGGGATGGGGGCCAGCTCTGCTCTCTTCATTCCCAGACTTCAAGATCCCGGGCCTCTTCTGGGAAAAGATCTTGGAGGGGGACCCTCTCTGCCTTCAAGAGGTGGGTTGCCGTGTCGGCTGAGGCCCGGGGTCGCCACTCCTCCCCTTTGGTTTTGGGGGCTTCTCGGGTTCCGTCAGCACTCCTTTCTTTCCCTGACCCTGGGGGTCTCTGGTCCAAGGGCCGGGGTGATTAGCGCCTTTCCAGGGGCTCGGACTTCTGGAGGGTCGTCGGCGGGCCAGGGGGTACTACAGGCCTCCCCGACTCCCCTTTTCCACTTTGGGTTTCCGGGGAAAGCTCTCCCTTCCCCCGGGCATCCTGGTCCTTTTGCCCTCCGAGGGCGAATGTTTTTTGGCACTCTTCTCGGCTCTCTTTTCGTCTCTGCTTCTCTGAGTCTCGGCTTCTACTATTCATCTCTGTCTTTCTCATTCGCGGTCATCTACTCTCGGCAATCCTCTCTGTTCTGCCCGTCTCTTTCGAATCTCTAAGGTCGTGCTACTTATTTGTCGCTCTATATCTCGATGCTTCTCTCTTGACCGCCTCTCGTCTCTCTCTCTCATCCTCTCTTTCTAGTCCATACTTATTCCACTGTCTCATCTCTTCCCTCATCTGAACATAGCAGAATCTTGACTCTCTACTGCCTCCTCGTCTCTCTCTTTTCCTCTTTCTCTCTTTCTCTCTCCCTCTCTTTCACTCTCTCTCCCTCGCTCTCTCTCTCTCTCTCCCTCCCTCCTCCCTCCCTGCCTTCAGAACTCCCTGTCTCCTCTCCCACTTCTCTGATTAATGAGGCTGTGTGCCAGAAACCCTGGCCATTCCGCTGTGACAGGGAGAAGCATGAGAGCAGGGAACATTGAGCATTGAGAGCTTAGTGCCTTGCGGTCAGAGCAGTTGCCATATCATGCAGTGATGCAGCCAGTCAAGATGCTCTCAATGGTGCAGTTGTAGAACTTTTGAGGATCTGATGGCCCATGCCAAATCTTTTCAGCCTCCTGAGGAGGAAGAGGCATGGTCGTGCCCTCTTCACGACTGTGTTGGTGTGTTTGGACCATGATAGATTCTTAGTGATGTTGACACCGAGGAAGTTGAAGCTCTCGACCCACTCCACTTCAGCCCTGTCGATGTGAATGGGGGCGTGCTTGGCCCTCCGTTTCCTGTAGTCCACGATCAGCTCCTTTGTCTTGCTGACGTTGACCACACTGCCAGTTCTCTGACCTCCTATAGGCTGTCTCATCGTCGTCGGTGATCAGGCCTACCACCGTTGTGTTGTCGGCAAACTTAATGATGGTGTCGAAGTCGTGCGTGGCCACAGTGAACAGGGAGTACAGGAGGGGACTAAGCACGCACCCCTGAGGGTGCGATCTGGCTACACAGAGAGGACAGAGGGGAGAGGGCTAAACAGATGTTTACAAGACTACCCTGGCCTGTGTTTGTTCAGTTAGCTCTGGGAACAGAGACTCAGGGAACAGAGGATGGGGGTTCCACCCTGGAGCCTCCCTCAGGCCTACCGATGGCAGATACACACAGTGTTATGGACTATATCTTGTTTGTAATGGCACAGGCTGTTCAATCAATAAGCCCATTCCTATCCTCTAATGTACTGTTTGCCTGGGTCTTTGGAAGTGTGCTGCTTTCCTCAAGTGCACACAAGTACATTGGAAAATATGCTCATATGTACATTGGAAAATATTCAGACGCCAGTGTGGGTACAGTATTTTTCAAAATAAGAATTGCATACACATGTGGAAGGGTGGGGCTCGATAATAACCCTGTGAGCATTCTCTTAGTCGGTCAGCTTCAACTCAGCGAGAAACAGGACCGTGAGACTGTCCTAAACCCTTCCTAATATGGAAGAATGTGACAGACAGAATGCCAGAGAACATGGGGCATGTTCCGGAAGAGACCATTCTGTTCGGCTGAGTCACTTTGCTTTTTGAGGAAGAAGGGACACATTGTCTGGCTGTCAGAGGCTGTCAGAGGCTGTCAGAGGCTGAGAACACCATTGTTTATGAAGCCAGATGAGAGGCTGGGACTGAGACTTAATGGACATTAATGAGAAAACATGAAGCTGAGTCAGTGTCCAGCAGACTAAGGTTATGAAGGGCCCATGCCATGGATGAAGGACAAGAAACAGCTGGAGGAGAGAAAGAGGGAGGGAGAGAGGAAGGAGAAAGAGAAGGAGGGAGAGAGAGAGGAGAAACCGAGAGAGAGTGCTTACTTTTCTTGGAAAGAGAGGGAGGGAGAGAGATTGGAGAGACCAAGAGAGAGTGCTTACTTTTCTTGGAATTATGTTTTGCATAGTTTATTTGCATTTTGTTTTTCTTCATTAGGCTACATGGTCTCTGCTCCTCAGAGAGTGACAGAATAGGAAAGGAATATACAGATAGTATATATAGATAGAGAGAGCAGAGAATTTTTGTTTCACTTCCTGGTTGCCACTGGAAGTCCCTTCCCCTGAACAGTGTGTTTGTTTGCAGTAGTATGAACAACAGGTAGGAAAAGCTAGAGTCTTCAGTGTAGTGGGGTGGCTCTCTGTGAGGCGTACTGTCAGGATACAGACAGAGGACTGCCATGTGAGGGCCCTGGGTTTATACAATATGTCAGGCTCCAACGTCCGCACTGTACACCCATTGTCTAAACTGAACAGGTGAGGATTTTGGCCATATGTTTAAAATATGACTATGTTGCTCAGGGGGCAGTAGGCCTACGTTTTGTGAATGTATGAAAGGTGTACTGAATTCCCAATATGTTGGGTTACTTACCATAGTTATAAAATTTTATTTGTCACTTGCGTCGAATACAACAGGTGTAGACATTACTGTGGAATGCCTACTTACAAGCTCTTAACCAACAATGCAGTTCAAGAAATAGAGTTAAGAAAATATTTACAAAATAAAATAAAGTAAAAAATAAAGTAAAAAGTAACACAATAAAATAACAATAATGATGCTATATACAGGGGGTACCGGTACCGAGTAAATGTGCGGGGGTACAGGTTAGTCGAGGTAATATGTACATGTAGGTAGGGGTAAAGTGACTATGCATAGATAATAAACAGCGAGTAGCAGTAGTGTAAAAACAAATGTAAATAGTCCGGGTGGCCATTTAATTCATATCTATGATAAATGTGAGTTTAGAAGTGTGCAATGACTGAGCTTTAGTATCAGTAAAGCTCTTTTACATCGCCTATTCTTCCCCTAAAACACGGCTATTCTTTAACACGGTGGTCTGTACAGTAGGACGTTGTAATGGATCTGTATAGCAGGCTACAGACCTGACTGTCTCATATGGACTGACTGGTAGCACTCTGTAGCTAGCTACCACAGCTTGGCCTGCTGCATTCTTCTGGGACTAATTACCCTGGAAAGAGGATTTGAATTATTGCAGTATTTAAAGAGGCTTCATTTGAGAAACTAATATTATATCAGGAGGTGCAGCCATATTGATATTCCAGAGCTCACTGACCTCGGTTTGAAATCTAAGAGGGCATGAGTGGATGATTGAGTGAAATTAGGATCCACAGTAAATCTAGCCGGGGTTAGGGAAACATACCAGAGTAATATAGCATAATATGTTTTCCCACACGTCTCTACCGCCATGCTGCTCTATGGCTGGCTGACTCTGTGGAATTGAGCTAGGGGCCAAATAGAGACAGGCGCTGTAGTGGAGCCAGTAGCAGCAGTCTTTGATAGTGTATCTAACTCAATATTCACTCCATTTACAGGTTTTTCTCTGGTGTGGTTAGTTCCTCTTGAGTTTTCCTTTACTCATCCCCACCTGTTTTCTCTCCCTCCCTCCCTCCCCCCTCCCTCCCTCCCTCCCTCTCTTTCTCTCCCTCCCCCTCCCTCCCTCCCTCCCTCCCTCCCTCCCTCCCTCCCTCCCTCTCTATCTCCTGCTCTCTCTATAGCTCTCTCTTTCTCGTTCTATCTCCTGCTCCCTCTCTCTCTCTTCCTCTCCCATCTCTCTAAGATGCTCCTCCATGAGGAGAGAGTTACTGTCCATAAGGAGAGGGTTATTGTCCAGTCAAGCCTGACAAATGGTGTCTTCATCCATCGGTCCCAGTATTACCTGCATGGACCATTGAGAGTTGTTGTGACATATGGTTGTCAGGAAGACTCTAGTGTTTACATAGATACACACATCTTAATGGATTGGCTATATACTGTTGTGGTGTGCATACGCCTTTACTTCTTTACCTTGTTCCTACAGAGGAAAATAAGTGCAGTTTTCTCATTATGTGTTTTCTGTCTTCACAGAGCTTCCAGTGTTCCCAAGGCTGATGCACCAAAGGTAAGTACACTCCACTCCAGTGAATTAATCAGATATAAACAGTCACATTCATTATTTAGGATGAAAGGCCTCCTGTAGCTCAGTTGGTAGAGCATGGCGCTTGCAACGCCAGGGTTGTGGGTTCGATTCCCACGGGGGCCAGTATGAAAAATGTATGCACTCACTAAAACTGTAAGTGGCTCTGGATAAGAGCCATGTAAAAATGTAAAAGGATTATGAGAATGTTTGAGCATGCTCACTGTGCCCTTCTGAGACGATGTTAAACCACATTGTGATTGGCTATTATGGGCATTATTCAACGCTAGGGAATAATGTGCTGCCCGATAGCTCTGAGGCACATACCATACTGCTGGGGAGCATTTCCCCTGCATGAGTTTGCTGTGTGGTTTGCAGTGTGTGAGTGTCGTGCATATGTGTCCTCACCCCCCTATAGGACAAGCCACTGGAGATCATTAAGCCTGTGCCAATCACCCATCCAGCCCCACCCTCCACCTTCACCAGCCCCTCCCCCCAACCCGGCGCTGCCTACAACAAGACGGCCCGCCCCTTTGGCGGGGGCAGCAATGTGGGTGCAGTCACTTCCTCCCTAACCGCCCCAAAGGTGGCCTCCATCCCCTCTGCATCGTCTGCTTTCACCCCCGCTGCCCCCTCCTCCCAGCAGCCCCAGCCTCCCTTCCCATTAGCTAGCCGCTCCCGCTCCCCAGCCCCACCCAGCTCAGCCCCACCCCCAAGACCCGGCTCTGGCCGTTCCCCCTTCACCACCCCCTCCTCCACTCCCTCCTCTTCTTCCTCCTCCTCCCCGGCCAGAGTGACAGCCTCCTCCTCCAATCCCGGTGCTCCGCAGTCCTCTTGCTATAACACACCCATCAACCTGTACTCCAATGCCAATGCCTGTGAGGTGGCCATAGGACAGAGGCGGGGGCCTGTTTGGAAGCCCAGGGTGTGGTGGTTCGACCAGGATCAAAGAAAGCAGTTTTTATGGGTGAGTGGCACTAACCCTCACCTTTCAAGCGCAGATGAAAAGAAGCGAGGGCCGGAGAGGGAGGAGAAGAGGAGAGGAAGGAGGGAGGGAGGCAAACCAAAACACAGGCGAAAGACGAGAAAGAAGGAGAGAGAAGAGAATCGCGAAGAGAAGAAAGAGAATAGAAGAGAAGAGAAGAGAAGGAGGAGAGGAGCGGAGAGGAAGGAGAGGAGGAGGGAGAGGGAGACGGAGCAGGAGGGAGAGGAGAGGAGAAGGAGAGAGAGGAGAGAGACGGAGAGGAGAGGGAGGCGAGAGGAGGGAGGAGGAGAAGTGCAGCGAAGAGAGACTCGCAGAGGAGAAGAGGGAGAGACAGCGAGAAGAGAAGAGAAGCGTCGAGAGGCGGGGTGAGGAGAGCAGAGGCGAAGGAAGCAGAAGAGACGGAGAAAAAAGAGAGCTACAGTAAGCATAATAGAAGAGATAAGCATGCCTCTCATATCCGTCATATCCGTGCAGTGTATAAGAGTACGATAAGGAAGCTCCGTATCAATCTCCTCTCATTCCTCTCCTCTCCTCTCCTCTCCTCTCCTCTCCTCTCCTCTCCTGTTACTTTCTTTATCTAACCAAACCCCTCATATTCTCCTTTTGCTTCCTTTCACTTTCCAAGAAGATCAACTGTGGGTAGGTAGGTGGTTTGTACACGAAGTTCACTTGAAGTTATTACCATGTACCACATTTACCTTTTAGCTCATAGGAACAACATGGCTATGTTAGGTATGACCACTTGGACTGGTGTAGTGCAGCAGGAAAGCTGTAATGGGAAGTGAACATGTTTCTGTCTCACATCCCATAAATCCTGTGTGTTGTTGTCAGGTCTACAGAGAGATGTGGTTCACTTCACTGTCTGTCTGGATGATGTTTGAGGCCTCAAGGAGCTGTTGTCCATTTGCAGTTAACCAACCATGTAATAACAACAGACTACCTGAGAGAGGACATACTTTGTTGTAAATCTTCCATCAGTTTCTCCTACATAGTCTATATAGCTGTTGGTAGAACAACTAGGATATGGTGCCTATACCCCAACTCTGTAAACAGCCACAATGAGTGCAGCAGCACATCTTGTCCCATTATGTTGAAGGGAACTGGAAACAGAAGAAAAAGGCAGCAGCAGCCGACAACATGTTAAACTCACTCCTGCTACCGCCCAACCTAGCCCATCCTAACCCAGCCCAGCCTAGCCCAACCTAGCCTAGCCAAGCCTAGCATAGCCTAGCCCAGCCTAGCCCAGCCCAGCCTAGCCCAGCCTAACCCAGCCCAACCAAGCCTAGCCCAGCCTAGCCCAGCCCAGCCTAACCCAGCCTAGCCCAACCCAGCCTAACCCAGCCTAACCCAGCCCAGCCCAACCCATCTTAACCCAGCCTTGCCCAACCCAGCCTAGCCCAGCCCAACCCAGCCTAGCCCAAATCCAGCCTTGCCTAACTCAGCCCAACCCAGCCCAACCCAACCCAGCCTAGCTCAACCCAGCCTAGCCTAGCCCAACCCAGCTAACCCAGCCTAGCTCAGCCTAGCCCAACTCAGCCTGCCTCCCTTTAATTGATAGTAGAGTTAATAGCTTTGCCAAACACCCAGTAGTCTGGCTCTGAGTCTATCTGACGTCTTGTTGTTGTGTCGACTCAGACGCTTGTTTTCTAATTAGCCCAGCATACTGGCAGCTCTGGGCTGGAGCAACTCTTTATTGGGGTGGTTCTCAGGCCAGAGGATAGGAAGAACACTGTGCACTAGTAACATGTGTTTTAGACTAGTCTACCAATATAGTTGACTGATACAAATGGTATTAGTTTTGTTTCGCAGCTGAATATAATAGACTTCATGCTACTTACCTCTAGGCACTTTGGTTATCATCTCAGTCTGTTCTGAATAATGTAATACCTTCTCTGAGTTATTATATGACCTTAGACCTTCCTCCCTTCTAAACCGGTTTTGGCTAGAATGGATACAGTTTATGTCAGACTTTTTGTAGCAAGTTAGACCTTATGCAGCAGGTTAGGACAATTCACGTAGCAGGTTAGGATAATTAGTTTAGGGTTAGGTAAAATGCACAAAAACATTTGACGAATGACAATTTGACATAAACGGTATCCCATCTAGCCATGACCACCTAAATCCCCTGGACTGCCCTGTCTGCTTGTACAGGTTCCAGGTATAGTAGAAGCATGTGTGTGTGTTTCTCTCTGGGTGTCTGCTCGTCCATCGTCTCAGAATGGGTCCTAAAATCATGTGGTTTTAGGACCCAGTTGAATCACTGCTCTTCTCTTTTACTGCTCCTTTACTTTGCTTCTTCCTCTACTCCTCTCTTTTCTCTTTCTGCAGGAGGTGGAAGAGGAAGAGACCAAGTTAGTATTGTAACAGTGACACACTGTCTGCTAGTTCTTTGACTGTGGGATGATGTGATTATCAGTGCTGTACTGCTGCACATGATGACTGCAGTACAGTTAGATTAGTACAATAGGCATGCTGGCGCCTCTCTGCCATAAATAACCCTCATAAACCTCACTCATATACTTACTGTCTAAAGCGTAAATCATAGTCCACAGAAGCTGAGACGCGATAGTCCAGCGTCCTATTGTGACATAGCTAAGCGGTTCTGAGACCACCATCCGCGGGGAAGCACAGCCCTCCGCTCACCTTCCCACAATTCTCAACCAACACGGCTCCGGTACGAGTCCTCTATTCATTTGAATGTGTTGACAGTTGGAGAAATTGTTTGAACTGCGCTCAGAATTCAAAAAGTATGAAAACCAACAGTCTAATATTCTAGAACACTGCTGTGCGTATGTGTTCACCTTTTGGACGATGACAGACGCTTTACACACTCATCTCACAGCACAAATCAACCTGCAAAGCCACACTGTAAATAACACACAGCCATAAGCCATAATAAGCCTTGTGGTCCACTGAGGCCAGTTCATTCTGTTCATTCATGCTCTGTGTGTGTAATGGCGTCCCGGCCCGGTCCATGTGGGATAACTACTGTATTTACACCCAGGTTGCATTTCAAATGCCACCCTATTCACTTTATAGTGCACTACTTTTGACCAGAGCCCATAGGCTCTATAGGCACTATAAAGGGAATAGGGTGCCATTTGTGATGCATCCCCACCAGACCCACGACCAGGCTCCAGACTGCAACCCAGAGCCCTGTAGGCTGACCTGTCACCTCTCAGCAGGGCTACTGATCCCTGTCCCTGCATCTGTCCCCCTCCGTCTGCCACCGTGCCACTCTGTTTACCCAAGGCCATTCATGAATTACCAGCCAGGACCGTCACAATCTGACCCCTCTCGCCCCATTCACTTAGAATACACTCACTGACACACACAGTCGAATAGAACACAGCTCACACGCAGAACACTCAGACACACTTGACTTGCCCCCAGTGCAGAAATCCACTTGTAATGCAATAAACAGACATCTTGAGATGTGTGTCTAAACATGATTTAATTCAGGACAGGAATACAAACAATGTATCCGTTCTGGTCCTGAGCTCAGCTCAGTGGTTCCCCCTTGTGGCGAGGGATGGTAACTTTCACCTTGGTTTATAACCGTATTATACATACAATATCACTATTTAATCGTTTTCAGTCAATTCCCCAAAATCCAAAATCCATCACCAGTTTATTCAGATGATCAATAATCCATAAAGCATATTTCCCCCTACTACTAAAACCATTGTCATGCTATGATATGTTTGTGTCTGAGTTAACACCATTATGTACTGTATGTGGGCTGAATCATGTAATGTGTGTCATGTCATCTTCATAAGGGTTTCGGAGGTGGTCATTGCAGTCAGTTTGAATTGATAGTCAGCTGACAACTGCTCTGCTATTTCTAGTGTAACTGCTGTTTCTGATAGTGGGCCTCCGGGCATTCTTAAGTAAGTATAGCCTGTAACATCAAAACTCATACTTTAGATATGGTTTAGCACCGTGGAAGTACAATATTCTATCTTTCAAGTTTCTGATTCTTCTTCTTCTCTTATCATATTTTCCTTTCTTACCACCCTCTCAATGTCTGTGTGCAGAGTCCCCCCAAAGACTGCCCCTAGGAGGTACAGTAATGGGAAATGTAGCCGTGCACACTTCACTTAGTGAACGTATGTTTGTCTTGTCTGAGTATACCTGTAGTATACATTGGGAGTACGAGTGTATTTGTCTGTACCAGTGTGTGAACGAGAAGAAATGTTGCTCTTGTGTTATGCTACTATATATATATATATATATATATATATATATATATATATATATATATTAATGTAATACATTAATCTGAATAATTACTGAATAATTAAGTAATTATTAAGAGTGATTTTTATGATTGCTAAATGGTAATGATAATTGTAAATGAATGGTAATGATGATGATGATGATGATGATGATGATGATGATGATGATACTTATTCTGTGTGTGTGTGTGTGTGGTCTCAGGAACAGAGTTGAACCAGAGTTGATCCACGCCTCGCCCCTCAGTGAGGCCAGTAAGAAGCGTCTGATCGAGGACACAGAGGACTGGCATCCTCGCACCGGGACCTCCCAGTCCAGGTCCTTCAGAATCCTGGCTCAGATCACCGGCACAGAGAAAGGTGGGTACCCCCTGGCACCCTCCCCCTTACCCCAATACCCTGAGGCATAATGACACCCTAGTTACTGTATGTTGGGTAACCTGGCACAATGGGACTAGGAAATAGAAATCTATCCTAACTAGATCATTGTGATCTTACAGTAATATCCCTCTGAAGTGACCGTTTCGGCTTTGCTTTTTCCCCTAAGGGAAAGGTTACGTAAGTAGACTGAAGTATAGATTACAACAGTGCTGCATGTTAGTCCCTGTAGTGCACAGGGTGGGAAATGAACACCAGCCATTAGCTAAATGCTGGTAGATTTTGGGGCATTTGGGAGCATTTATAAAAAAATGGAAGAGAGAATCTCAACGCTACAGTGGTGAAAGCAGGTGGGGTACAGTGTTTTCTGTCATTTATCTTCATTATCCACCAGCCACTGCAGTTAATTTCCCACCCTGGTAGTGCAGCTCTGTCTCTGTTGTCTGGTCCCCCTGGCACAGCTCTGTCTCTGTGTTCTGGTCCCCCAGTGCAGCTCTGTCTCTGTGTTCTGGTCCCCCTGGCACAGCTCTGTCTCTGTGTTCTGGTCCCCCTGGCGCAGCTCTGTCTCTGTATTCTGGTCCCCCTGGCACAGCTCTGTCTCTGTGTTCTGGTCCCCCTGGCACAGCTCTGTCTCTGTGTTCTGGTCCCCCTGACACAGCTCTGTCTCTGTATTCTGGTCCCCCTGGCACAGCTCTGTCTCTGTGTTCTGGTCCCCCTGGCACAGCTCTGTCTCTGTGTTCTGGTCCCCCTGGCACAGCTCTGTTTCTGTATTCTGGTCCCCCAGGCACAGCTCTGTCTCTGTGTTCTGGTCCCCCTGGCACAGCTCTGTCTCTGTATTCTGGTCCCCCTGGCACAGCTCTGTCTCTGTGTTCTGGTCCCCCTGGCACAGCTCTGTCTCTATGTTCTGGTCCCCCTGGCACAGCTCTGTCACTGTGTTCTGGTCCCACTGGCACAGCTCTGTCTCTGTGTTCTGGTCCCCCTGGCGCAGCTCTGTCTCTGTGTTCTGGTCCCCCTGGCGCAGCTCTGTCTCTGTGTTCTGGTCCCCCTGGTGCAGCTCTGTCTCTGTGTTCTGGTCCCCCTGGCGCAGCTCTGTCTCTGTGTTCTGGTCCCCCTGGTGCAGCTCTGTCTCTGTGTTCTGGTCCCCCTGGCGCAGCTCTGTCTCTGTGTTCTGGTCCCCCTGGCGCAGCTCTGTCTCTGGGCCTCAGCATCCATCTCTCTGTCATCACCCCAGCCCTGTGTGTGTTAGACCTGCTCTGCTGATACAAACTGACAAGGAGCAATGCATTAGAAGTCATTCTCTGCTCCACACAGAGGCTGAGGTTACTTATACAATGTTTAATATGTGCAAGGCTGTTGTGTTATGCAAATGAGTGCTGGAGAGTGGTTTGTACTTGCGTGGCTACCCATCTACATCGCTCCTGCCAAATGCCACACCCACTAACGTTTCTTCTCCACGATGAGTTTGGATTTGCTTTTCTCCCTGATCCTTTGAGAATGCAAACACATTCTGACTGTTCTGATTGATCCCAGAAACTGATGGGTTGGGCCAGAGCTGGCTTACACGAATCATGAATCACTTAATTTTTTACATCCTCACAAACGACTTCTAAGATGGCAGGTTCAGACTGATGTATGGAGCAATCAATAGAGCAGCGGGAATGAAATTCAGGATGTGTCGTCAGGCAAGGTTTGTACAGCTGCCCAGTAGATGTGGAGAGAGGGATGTAGCTCCAACCTGGACTGAGTTCAGCTGGCAGGGCTATATCTCTGCCATGTGATACTGGGCTCAATCAACCAGCACTCACCTGGGGTAGTGCTATTTGAGGTGCACCGTTGGGCAACCTTTTTTTATATAGGTATATTTTTGTCAATATCTGCTTGATTAGAATTAGCATTTAAAAAGCAGTATAACTACTCTCTTTTTGTCTTGTCACCCCATCAGTTATTTTCTATTATAAGACTCACAAGTCTACACGCACATTTGACAATCTCTTCTTTTATGTTCATGAGTTTCTTTTCTCTTCTGTTCACAGCTCAAGCCCAGGAGAACAGCACTGGAAAGAAGTGAGTAGTTGGTGGTATGTCAGTCTGATCCGATGTGATCTGAGGGTAGTTTCCTGGTGTGTGAGGCTGATACTGTTGTTGTTACTGTTACTATGTTGGGTTGATCAGAGCTTTCTGGCACTCCATGTCTCATCCTACATGTCACAGGAGCTTCTCATTATTGGGATTCCGTGTTTAGCCCATACTTCCTTATCCATGAGACGCTCAGTATCACGCTTAGTTTAAGGCTTCATTACAGGAAGCCACATCAGAGGAAACCCTAGTGGAAACAGCTCAGGCAGGGTTAGCTGGGCTGGGCAACCCTTTGAGCCCTTTAGAGCTGGGGGTTCTGGGGGTTCTCAGGTCTGTTTTCTGCCCCTATTCATCTTCATCTGCAGTAAATGCACCCTGCTGCTCTCCCAACCAAAGCCCCGGCCAATCAGCATGTCACGAAGAGGGATTGTGGGTAATTAAGTGGGATTGTGGGTAATCAGGGCCTGCCAGGAGGATACTTCCAATCTCTCCTTCTTAGAGAGATGTGGTTTACAGACAGCATCCTTCCAAAGACAGAGCTCTCCTATCAGGAGGTATGAAACCACTGTCCTGTTTTTCCCTCAACATTTCTTGTCTATGTCTTTTTCTTAACAATGTATTTCTTTCCTTTCTTCCTGTCTGCTCTCCTGTGTCCTCTCCTTTCTTCCTCCTTCCTTCCCTCCATCTCCCCTTCTGTCCTGTGTCTTTGGGTGTGTTAGGGTGAACAAACCGGACCCAGAGGTTGTGGGACAACAGTACAACAAGCTGAGAGATTGGCACCACAGTGTTTCAGCACGCACACTCCACGTGCAGTAGACTGTAGATAACAGTTACCTCTATCTGCCTGTGTTTTATTCATTTCAATCAGCCTGTAGTTGACTAGAAAGACAGTCTCAGATCTCACATTATAGCAATCCTGAGATTTCACATTATACCTCACCACCTGTGCCTTGTCCCATACCACATCCCTTTGAGTAGTTACAGGAATTAGTTAGTAGGTTACTGTGTGTGTGTGTACAGTGAGCCTGCTGGTGTGTTAGGGGAGTGTGAGAGTGAGTGTGTCTTTTTGTTAAATACTCTCCCTTAGTTTACCTTGCCTTAGTACATACACACAGTGGCCAGTTTATTAGCTACCCGTTCACATAAATGGTTCGCTCCTACAGACAGTGAGCCATGTGGCCATGGCTTGCTATATAAAGCAAGCAGACAGGCATTGAGGCATTCAATTACTGTTCGATTGAACGTTAGAATGGGCAAAACGAATGACCTAAGCGACTTTGAGCGTGGTATGATCGTTGGTGCCAGGTGCATTTCATGCTCGACAGTGTTTAGGGTTTACTGAGAGTAGTGCGACAAACAAAAAACATCCAGTCAGCGGCAGTTCTGTGGGCGAAAACAGCTCGTTGATGAGCGACATCGAAGGAGAATGGCAAGAATCGTGCAAGCTATCAGGCGTGCCACAAACAGGCAAATAAAGGCGCAGTACAACAGTGGTGTGCAGAACAACATCTCGGAATGCTCAACTCGTCCGTCCTTGAAACCGATGGGCTATTGCAGCAGATGATCACACCGGGTTCCACTCCTATCAGCTAACACTGGACAATTGAGGAGTGGAAAAACATTGCCTGGTCTGACGAATCCCGGTTCCTGTTGCGTCATGCTGATGGCAGAGTCAGGATTTGGCATACACAGCATGAATCCATGGCCCCATCCTGCCGGGTGTGTATGGTACAGGCTGGTGGCGGTGGTGTACTAGTGTGGGGAATGTTTTCCTGGCACATGTTAGGTCCCTTAAACCAAATTGAGCAACGTTTTCATGCACCGAAGAATACAGGCTGTTCTGGAGGCAAAGAGGGGTCCGACCCAGTACTAGATGGGTGTACCTAATAAACGGGCCACTGAGTGTATCTTGAATACCGCATGAGAAGCAGGTTTAGATTAAATCTGCATATTATCATGGATTGTATCTGTAATATACTTTGATTTAATTTGGTTGAACGATATACATTATAAGTAGTTTAACTTATATTTTTGGTGTTTATTCTTTTGTTTCTACTTATTTTCCGACTTCACTATCCTCCAACTTCATTCTGATCATTTGTGTGTGTACCTTTGTATTTTAATCTTCATTTTGTTTAATTTTATACACTAACCATATCCGTTTTGCTTGAGGATTGTAACTGTTTATATATCAATAAAGTTTATCCTTTTCTCAGCTATTCTTTATTTCCTGTCCCCTTCTCCCTTTCCCTTGAGCTTCCTCTTCTGTATCTAAACACTTGACTGTGCAGTAGGTGCTGAGTTGGTAGAGCATGGCGCTTGCAACGCCAGGGTTGTGGGTTCGATTCCCACTACTGTAAATCACTCTGGATTAAGAGCATCTGCTAAAAAATGCTTGGTCTATAGCAATGGATGCTTATCACCAGTAGAGAGCAGTATCATCAAGACATATTTAAAGTACAGCGTAGCTGACCAATTGTACATTCACACAACTCAATATGACATGGAGCAAATCAAGTCAGACTCAAGTCAGGTTATTTGCCTAAGGGCAAGTCTTTCTCACCTGGGATTTGAACCAGCTACCTTTTTGATACAGTGTGCCCATACTGAGCGTGCTCGGTCCATACCTTGATAGGCTGACCACAACCACTAGTACAGACCTAACCATAGTGGCTCAGGCATTATTTATAGAACCGTCAATGTCATGGAGAACAACATTGCAGAGTCTGAAAGAACAACACAATTGTGTTGTTATGAGCAGCTCCACTGCATACAATATTTCAGAGAGATAGAGACCGTGCCAACTCTAATTGTGTTTCTGTTTTCTTATTGATTTGCCATCTGGGCACTGGGATGTATCATGTATCCTTATTGGATATACTGGCCATGCTTTTCATCAGACACAGCTTTTTATCCAATCAGCTCTCCTCTTAATTGACCTGATTGGTTGAGTGTGTCTCTGAGCTTCCTGCTAATTGATTGTAATGGTTAGTGCCTGGGCTGGATGTGACTCAGTCATGCCTATCAAAATGAGCCCAGGGTTTTATTGTCTTCAAAACAGCTCTTCCAATGCACTTGTATTTCCAACAACTATTTTGGTATTTTTGGGGCATGGTCTGCACATTGTTTCAAATAAACATGCACTTGAACAGGAAGATAACCACATATTTTATATTGGGGGTAGGAGTGGTGGACTCAGAGGATGCAGAATGTGGGAGTTTTACTATTGCTGAAAATAATGAAGTGAAGTCTATCGTTTTTAGTGGGGAGGCGTGTTGTGATGGAATGACATTCTAACAGATGAGAGGTGTTCTGAGTCCTGGATTCAACTCATACTCTACTATAACCATTGCTGAGGTTGCCATAACAAACATGGACTGGGCCTGAGGGAGAGACTGACAGGCCTCAGTTGGCACAGCCTGGTGATGTGAATAGTCCTGAATAAACAACACCAACCCTACCAGAACCTGGGAACCTTGAATATTATAAAGGAAAAACATTTCTGAAGTATGATGGAGTGTCTGAGTGTGTGTATGTGTGTATTTATGTGTGTGTGTGTGTGTGTGTGTGTGTGTGTGTGTGAAGGTTTTTTGGTTTTACTATCCTTGTGGGGACCAGAAGTATAGTAAAACAAGGAAAATTCAGACAAGTGGGGTCATTTCGCAGGTCCCCACAAGGACAAGGTTAGGTTTAGGGTTAGGATCACAATTAGGGTTAGAATTAGGGTTAGGGTTTTGGGTTAAGGTTAAGGTGTTAGATTAATTTGTATTTTAAGAATAATGACTAAAGGATTTCACCCCAAATACAGTATAAATGTGTGAACGGTGTTAGTTATAATGTAGTGGCAACCCACTAACAGAGGGGGGCGGGACTAAACATTCCAGGGTGAAGGGGACTGAGAAAACGGGTTGCAAAAAGCCTCCTAAAGGTGGGCGGAGCAAAGTGCCTTTGTGTGTCAAGGGGTATCAAACAGGAGGGTATGGGTTTTGGCGCCAGAGCTCTCCATGAATAAAAATACAGATAATTCTTGCTGGTTGTGGACCTTGAATCATTTATGATTAAAACCAGAGCCTTACAACCTCTGGTAATGATTCAAGCTTAGGTTGAATTAGAGATCGAAATTCTCATGACATAAGGTTAGGGTTAAATTCAGGGTTAAGGTTAGGATTAGGTTAACGGCACAGGAGGTTGGTGCACCTTAATTGGGGAGGACGGGCTGATGGTAATGGCTGGTGTGGAATAGGTGGAATGGTATCAAATAAATCAAACACATGGTTTCCATGTGTTTGATGCAATTCCATTTACTCTGTTCCAGCCATTATTGTGAGCCATCCTCCCCTGAGCAGCCTCCACTGGTTAATGGTTAGGGTTCGGGGTTAGGGAAATCAATTGTTTGGTCCCCACAAGGATAGTAAAACAAACGTGTGTGTGTGTGTGTGTGTGCGTTCATGGGCGTTCATGTATGCATGTGTGTCCATGAACAATGACCTATAAGCAGTACTTTTCTGTTCTCCAGTAAAGTTGTTGAGGATGCCCCGCCCACTGGCCACATCACAACGTCAGTGAAGACCATGACCAAAGTCCCAGGAGCCCCCAAGAATGGCAACAGTGTCCCCCCACCCACCTTCAAGACCCCCTCTGCCCAGGTCAAACCCTCCTGGCCAGCTGGAGGTCCAGCAGGTACTGTAACACCATGACACTAACACTATGGTATTCTTCTGACTGCCTCTCCAGAGGATTCTGTGGTTATGTTCACTCGCCTGGCTGCGTTTACACATTCTGATGATGTTTCTGTTATTGTGTGTGTCCTAATGCTAAGATAAAACTAGATCTTCGCTTGAAGCTGAGGTGTACTACAGCCTTTGTTGAACATGGACGAGTCAGAAATGCTAATATATATCTTTATTTTTCTAAGTTGAGAGCTCTGCCCTTTACACAAACATTTATTTAGGAGAAGAAGGTTTATATATATGACTGAAATGTGAGGTCATCTAGTAGATTTATTAACCCTCGGCACTGGCTTTAAATGCCATGGCTGCATAGACTCAGACAAGCAACAGTACTCAATAACTGTTACTTCATGTACAGTGCCTTGCAAAACTATTGATCCCCCTTGGCGTTTTTCCTATTTTGTTGAATTTCAACCTGTAATTTAATTGGATTTTTATTTGGATTTCATGTAATGGACATACACAAAATAGTCAAAATTGGTGAAGTGAAATGAAAAAAAAAACTTGTTTCAAAAAATTCTAAAAAATAAATAACGGAAAAGTGGTGTGTGCATATGTATTCACCCCCTTTGCTATGAAGCCCCTAAATAAGATCTGGTGCAACCAATTACCTTCAGAAGTCACATAATTAGTTAAATAAAGTCCACCTGTGTGCAATCTGTGTCACATGATCTGTCACATGATCTCAGTATATATACACCTGTTCTGAAAGGCCCCAGAGTCTGCAACACCACTAAGCAAGGGGCACCACCAAGCAAGCGGCACCATGAAGACCAAGGAGCTCTCCAAACAGGTCAGGGACAAAGTTGTGGAGAAATACAGATCAAGGTTGGGTTATAAATAAATATCTGAAACTTTGAACATCCCACGGAGCACCATTAATTCCATTATTTAAAAATGGAAAGAATATGGCACCACAACAAACCTGCCAAGAGAGGGCCGCCCACCAAAACTCACGGACCAGGCAAGGATGGCATTAATCAGAGAGGCAACAAAGAGACCAAAGATAACCCTGAAGGAGCTGCAAAGCTCCACAGCGGAGATTGGAGTATCTGTCCATAGGACCACTTTAAGCCGTACACTCCACTGAGCTGGGCTTTACGGAAGAGTGGCCAGAAAAAAGCCATTGCTTAAAGAAAAAAATAAGCAAACACGTTTGGTGTTTGCGTAAAGCCATGTGGGAGACTCCCCAAACATATTGAAGAAGGTACTCTGGTCAGATGAGACAAAATTTGAGCTTTTTGGCCATCAAGGAAAACGCTATGTCTGGCGCAAACCCAACACCTCTCATCACCCCGAGAACACCATCCCCACAGTGAAGCGTGGTGGCAGCATCATGCTGTGGGGATGTTTTTCATCGGCAGGGACTGGGAAACTGGTCAGAATTGAAGGAATGATGGATGGAGCTAAATACAGGGAAATTCTTGAGGGAAACCTGTTTCAGTCTTCCAGAGATTTGAGACTGGGACGGAGGTTCAACTTCCAGCAGGACAATGACCCTAAGCATACTGCTAAAGCAACACTCGAGTGGTTTAAGGGGAAACATTTAAATGTCTTGGAATGGCCTGGTCAAAGCCCAGACCTCAATCCAATTGAAAATCTGTGCTATGACTTAAAGATTGCTGTACACCAGCGGAACCCATCCAATTTGATGGAGGTGGAGCAGTTTTGCCTTGAAGAATGGGCAAAAATCCCAGTGTCTAGATGTACCAAGCTTATAGAGACATACCCCAAGATACTTGCAGCTGTAATTGCTGCAAAAGGTGGCTCTACAAAGTATTGACTTTGAGGGGGTGAATAGTTATGCACGTTCAAGTTCTGTTTTTTTTGTGTTATTTCTTGTTTGTTTCACAAAAAAAATATATTTTGCATCTTCAAAGTGGTAGGCATGTTGTGTAAATCAAATGATACAAACCTCCAAAAAATACATTTTAATTCCAGGTTGTAAGGCAGCAAAATAGGAAAAATGCCAAGGGCGGTGAATACTTTCGCAAGCCACTGTAGCGGTTTCTCTTGACCTGCAGGGGGCAGGCTCGCGCTGTTACTGTAAACCCTGACCATTGAATCAGTGCTTTTATTAGAGCAACATACAAGCTCTATAAAACAAGCTGTATTCAGCTAATGAGCTCAAATTATAGCCTCTTTTTCCACGATTCCTGAGTGAAAATTCCTGAGTGAAAATGAGATTTTCTGCTCTTTAAACAGAGGAGATTCAAGGTCTGTGAAAACTGTAGCTTTCTCTGTAGGAGTCATTGGGAGTCATCATTACTAAGATTACTACTGCAGTATGTTCTCATACATAATATGAATATACAGTATATGGCCTTTACAGAGCTGTGTGAGGCGAGACAGGTCCTATGCTTACCTACTGCCTCCCTGGGGACCTCTTAAGTGAGAGTTGCTGAAAGGGGGTGTATGAGAGACCACAGATACCTCTCTGTTAGATAGAGTATTTATCAGATGTACGTTTACTTGACTTTGTTTTCACAAACACATACCTCATACTGACCGTGTGGAACCAGGCCAGATGCATGGTATGTTTTGTGTGATTCTACCATTCCCCCTGCTAGTGCTAAATATGTAATGTTTTTCATGGCAATTTTCATAGCAGCAGGCAGGACCACAGGCGGCTGGTGGCACCTTAATTGGGGAGAACGGGCTTGTGCTAATGACTGGAGCGGAATAGGTGGAAAGGTATCAAATACATCAAACACATGGTTTCCATGGGTTTGATGCCATTCCATTTACTCCGTTCCGGACATTATTATGAGCCTCTCTCCCCTCAGCAGCCTCCACTGGGCAGGACATGATTGGTATTAGGTTGTATACAGGTGTTGTGGTGTGTGTGTGTGTGTGTGTGTGTGTGTGTGTGTGTGTGTGTGTGTGTATGTATGTGTAACTGTTCGTGTGAGAGAGAGAGAACGAGAGAGAGAACTATACACTCTGTCAGCCATCCGTGTAAAAGCCAGGCAACATTGATGACAGCAGCGGATACATCTCCCAGATGTTTATCAGACAGAGATAACAGTGTTGTCTTAACAACTCATCTATCCAGCCTCCCTCACCTCCCTCCATTGCTCCCTTCCTCTCTGCCACCATGCCCTCCTGTCATTGTGTCATCCAAGAACATGTCCCCTAAGCCCTGGGACTGGGTTAGCCACAGCTGCCTCTAAACGGTCACTCAACAGGACATTTAAAATACAAATTTAACCAGATGTGGTTGAAGTAGTAGTTTGATGGACCTGGACCAGGGGTTTGGCAGCCCTGCTGTGGTTCAAGTGAAACAGAGATACAGATCTCCAGTGTTCCCGTACAGCCTGCCCAAAGCCTCTTCAGTGGTTAGTTAGAGCATAGAGCCAACACACAGTGACAATGTCATATACAGTTTATGCTCTCCTCCCTCCCTCCTTCCTTCCTTCCTTCCTCTCTCTCTCTCTCTCCCTGGCTCCACCGTCTCTCTCTCTCTCTCTCTCTCTCTCTCTCTCTCTCTCACCCTGGCTCCCCCATATCTCTCTGTCTCTCTCTCTCTCTCTCTCTCTCTCTCTCTGTCTCTCACTCTCTCTGGCTCCCCCATCTCTTTCTTTCCATCTCTCTCTCTCTCTCTCTCTCTCTCTCTCTCTCTCTCTCTCTCTCTCTCTCTCTCTCTCTCTCTCTCTCTCTCTCTGTCTTTCCCATGGATGTCCTCTCCTCTCTGCTATTCTCACTTCTCTGCCAGTCCCCAGTCATGTTTATTCAGCTCGTTTGCTCTCCGTTACGAGGAAATCGAGGGGGCACTTGCTCTCTGACCCCCCAGTCCACCACTCTTTGATTGGGTTCTCCTTTTCAATAGAGTCTCTGTCCCCATCCACCCCTCACCCCATCCCCTTCTGAGAGCAGACATCTTTGATCTCCGCCTGAATGTCTCTGTGGGGAAGATTGATCCTTTGTTTGGGCGGTGTGGAGTGGATCTGCCCGACACAGCTGGCCCATGTTAAAGACAGAGAGGTCACAGCTAGATTTGAAACATTCTGTCAGTGAGCAGCATAGTCATTCATACCTGATCACACCTGATCACACCTGCCCACCCACACCTAAGCTAAGGTTTCTTTAGGGTTAGCTTGCAATGCACACAGCCGTGTAAAAACAGCTATAATTTTATTGATCATTGAATGATCAGGATGTTTGTACTGCTCTGCCTGTTTGCAGTATGTTGTTAGTGCTTTGATTACATGACACAGCAGTTTGTGAATGTTTTTTTATATAGCTCAAATGGATGTGAGTTTTTGTTTATCTCTGTATGGTGTGATTGAAACAACTGGCCCGTGGTGTATTTTCTGTCGCTTTAGGTTTCTCTAAGGGTGGAGCTGCGCCCTCTTTTGAGCGGGTCAGCAACACTGCACCAGTACCCAAAGTTTCTGACCGCCCCGCCCCCCAGGCGCACCCCAAGGACCAGGACTCCCTGGTACAGCGGGCCGAACACATCGCAGCGGGAATACGCACCCCCATGTGTGGCCACTGTGACAAGGTCATCAGGTCAGTACCAACAGTCAGTATGGGAAACCATGTGTTGACTTATGGTCAAAAGTCGTGCTCTATATTGGAATTTTGGACACAGCATAAGGGTTTACTTCTGATTAGTTTAGTCCCTCTCAAATGCATCTGAAGTTTTACAAAAAAAAACGTAATCTGTCTTTTTGTCTTGTTATCCTGACCTCTGACCACTTCCTATCTTTCACAGAGGACCTTTCCTGGTGGCCATGGGCATGTCGTGGCACCCTGAGGAGTTTAACTGTTCCCACTGCCACACGTCTCTGGTGGAGTATGGCTTCGTGGAGGAGAGGGGAACAGTGTACTGTGCTCACTGCTATGAGAAGTTCTTCGCCCCTACCTGCACCAGCTGCCAGCAGAAGGTCCTGGGGGTGAGTGACATACTTTAGGAGACTGTATAGTATCTTGGCTAGTGCTCAACTATCTTATCTTCCTCTTCTAATGTACAGACACATATTGAAATCAAATTATGACATTATGACAGTAATAGAATTCCCTATAATCCCTTATATTTTTTTTTACAGGAAGTCATCAATGCCCTGAAGCAGACATGGCATGTGTACTGCTTCCTGTGTGCGTCCTGCCAGCAGCCAATCAGAAACAACACCTTCCACCTGGAGGACGGGATGCCATACTGCGAAAGAGGTGAGAGTTCACAGCAAGCAAGGTCTTTGGGAATGAACAGCACTGTGAAATGAATCGAGTCATGAAAGTAACATTATACTGACTCTCTCCCATTCAGACTACTACCAACTCTTTGGTACCAGTTGCCATGGTTGCGACTTTCCCATTGAGGCAGGTGACAAGTTTCTGGAGGCGTTGGGATTCACCTGGCATGATACCTGCTTCGTGTGTGCAGTAAGTCAGTCTCCCATGGAGCGAGTGAAGGAGGCATGGAGAGAGAGAGGAGTAGAGTATATAAAATGGAAGGGTTTTAGCACTGACTGTCTGTCTTTTTGTAGGTCTGCAACACCAGTTTGGAGGGCCAAGCCTTCTTCTCTAAAAAGGACAAGGCTCTGTGCAAGAAACACGCCAACACAGTCAAGATCTGACCTGCCCCCAGGAGTGAAGAACAGAGTTGTTGATATTTTTGGTAGTTTTAAAAGATTTATCTGATTATGACTTTTATTAACAGAGATGTTTGGTAATGGGGATTTAAGCTTTATTTCATCTTCTCTGATGGATGTGTGTGTGTGTGTGTGTGTGTGTGTGTGTGTGTGTGTGTGTGTGTGTGTGTGTGTGTGTGTGTGTGTGTGTAGTTTACCATTCACCGCTTGTGCCATATAAGGGGAAAATATTTTGCTCAAATGAAGGTATGAAAAAGTACCTAGTGTCTTTTCTACCGATTTAGATGTATTAGTTATTTGAAGATTTGTTGAAGTCAGACAAAGTGCATGATGGGAGAAAGTATGTTGACTTGAAGGGAGGTATGATTTTTTATAAAATCTGATTGAAATGTTCTTTACATACAGTACAATAATATACTGTAGTTAGGTGAACACATAAGGTAGTGATACTCAAGTAGTGGCCCGGGGGCATATCTGGCTCATCATGACATTTCTTGAAGCCCTCAACATTAATTTATTTCATAAATGAAAATCCACACATATGATCCCTTAGAATGTATGTAGTTAAAATCTAATTAAAGTCTGATTTTAGTATATAATGGGGACCTTATAAAATGAACATTAATCAGTGGACAGATTAAAATAAATGATCACCTTATTGAAAAATAGTGTGTAATTGAGAACAACTAGACACCCCAACCCCTTTTTATTCTCTCTCCCATTCTCTCTCTCCTCCTTCTCTCTCTCTCTCTCTCTCTCTCTCTCTCTCTCTCTGTCTCTCTATCTCTCTGCTGGTGTGGTTGGGTCTGTAGACAGATCTGTATTTATCCTGGTAGTATATTTATTGGGGCTGGAGTGATGTACTGTATTTTCAGCTTTCTAGGGGCAGTTGCACAGAGTGGTTTACTGACAAAGTCAATCGGTCAGGACAGACAGCTGTTATTTTATTAGCAGTAGGGGTTTTCTGAGTTTATTGTTGTATTGATATTTTTAATGGAATTTTTAATGGATTCAATTTCCACTAATTTTGAACCTAAACTTAGACACCATTTTGCTTTTGCTGCCACTGATGAATGCTTGTCTATGTGGTGTTTATTGACGTAATTAATTCTGTTACCAATCGTATTTGCCATGATGTTACTCATCCAAGCTACAGACAAAATGTTCTCTACATCTCTACAATTTCAGTGTTATTGAAAATGATTTGTATTAGACCTTTGGGATCAATACAATTTTATTGGGAAATACAGTACATTAATTCAAGTGTATTGATCTTCTATTTGTAAAATATAAAGTATTTGAAAGTAATAAGGATTCAATCATGTGTGTGTTTGTGGTTTTATGTTTATGGTTTATCATTGTTTGTCATAGTGTCACTTAAGAGATGCCTGATCAAAACCTCTAAATATGACTGGTTGAGTCCATTAATACCCCATATGAAGCCTACTGCGTGATGATGAAGCTCAAAACGTTTGTACAGATTTTATGCCAATTTATATTAGGATTGGTGTTCTATAAACTAACCTTTCTTTGCTACACAGACATGATACACCACTAAAACAATATTGTTCAGCCTCAGAAGAGGCCATACAGACAGGCACTGAGTCCCCTCACACACTCACCTAAGCGGGAAAAGTACACAGTCGCCATGGAGACAGGGGAGACAACATTTCTCTCAAGTGTCCTGTCTTGCCTCAAATTAATGATGCCAGCTTATTTACATGCAATGATTTTCCCAATCACCTCAACTAGATGAACTACAACAGTGCAGACTAGAATGTACCTTTTGAATAAACAATGACTGAAAAAAAGTTATAGGGGAAAATGTCAAGTGGTTGTATATTATGCAATAAAGAATTCCATCTGTAGATAAAATGAAACGGTAGGGACACTTGGAGCAGCGGAGGCCCAAACTGTACTTCTCCAAGACGTCGGAGGTGGGAGCCCTATACCGGGCGGCGAAAACGCAGCTAATATTATGTAGAGGCCGTTCACTTGGAAAAGTCAGAAGTCCGACACAACACAAACGTAGAAAAACAAAGAAGCATAGACGAAATTCTCAATAAAATTGTGACGCAACCATCATATCGGAATCCTGCTATTCTACATTTTACGCGAGGAAAAGGTAAGTTTGTTTAGAAAACCAGGTGTTTTCATAGCAAGCGCAAAGTTTTAGCTCGCGTCAATTGTTGTGGTCGCGAGCTTGCATCCTTATTTCTGTCGGAATGTAAAAGTGGTGATATTGTGTTTAGTTTGCGATTCATGTAATTCAGTCATGATGCACAGGTTTTGTCGGCGGTGATAGTTCAGGGGATGCTAATTTGCTCCATCACCAACCGACTCTGATTCGCCTGCTTCCTCTGCTCTGGTTCCGAGATTTCAGGAGCTGGCGTTGATGCTTATCAGCAATTATCAATTATCACCACACAATAAATCTCCAAATGCTCAAAAACGTACAACTATGATAAACGTATTAAACTTTGTTTCTCAAACGGATCAATCAAATAGCCTAATGTAATAACTTCATATTTGGATACATTTGCAAAAGGCAACTTTCACAATACCGTAAGAATTTTGATCAACTCTGATTTTCAATATTATGAGAGCAATAATAGAAAATGATGCTTTATAATGCTTCCTCTTGATGATACGCGAAATGTTAACAATCATGACTAGAGGGGTATTGAGTGTTTTTGGTGAATCTGTGGTCTTGTTTACTGTCTATTAATATAGTCCCAGTATGACCTTACACCCCTTGCTAGCTATCTCATTGAAAGTGTCTCTTAATGAACTCTGTGTGATGTTGAAATACAACCTCTGGCAGAGTCCTGAATTGATACTGCTCATTATTATGATTTATTAGGATCCCCATTAGCGGAGTTGCAGAAGATGCACAGTATGTACAGACCTCTCAGAGCCTGGGGGAGATTGTATTTTATGCTCAGTAGGAAGATATACTGTAGTATACTCACACACTAAGACAGAGTGGACCTGGGTTCAGTACAATAGATTGGCCAACTGTACTGTTTTGTCACACAGTGTGCGTGTGTGTATAAATATGTGTCTCTCTCTTTGGTCCATTGGAGTTCTATGATAGACTGGAGAACAGAACAAAGCATTGTGGCATGACTTTGTCTTTAAATGGGGTTTCAGTCCATCAAATATTACCCTTGACCCCATGCCACAAAACAGCAGTCGATGAGGTCTCAAGTCAACAGCCCCACGGCCACTGCAGTGGACCACCAAAAACATAACTAACATCACTGGCCTCCAGCTCCTGAAGTTAGGCCAGGCCAGAACCCCAAGAGCAACCATCCATGCACAGCCTTATATTTTATACTAATCTTCATCTTGGAGACTGAAGTTGTGTCCAAAATGCGACCTTATTCCCTATGTAGCGCAGTACTTTTGACCAGGGCCCATAGGGATCTGGTCAAAAGTAGTGCACTATATAGGGAATAGGGTGCCATTTGAGACACAGCATGCAGTCCTATTCAATACAGAGAGGATCATTGATGGAGGCCTGAGTGAGTGAGTGTTGAGTGTAAGAGTGTGTGGGCTACAATGAACCACACAGTGATCTCACTACCACCCTGGACTGGCAGCAGCACCACACACAGAAACACACACACACACACCATTAGCCTACAGGGATGTGGAGGGAGGCTGGAGGGCGGTTGGCAGGCCTCTGTTTTTGTGGCCTACCACAGACTGAGGCTGGGAGCGTTGTGAGTGTTGGGGTCTGTGTGTTTCTGGCGTCGGAGTGTGTGTGTCTTACTGTGTAACTTACCCACGTGGTGGTCTTGGGAGGTCTTGTTATGCTAGTTGTGTAAAGGCATTCGTCTGCAGTGTGAAAACGACTGTGTGAAACAGGCCACACGGGTAGTCTGATAATAATCAGGATCTTGAAATGAGACACATTGATATTGGGAGGAGAGGTGACTACAATGCACCTGTCACGTATCTGTTGAATGAAACATTTGGTCTGTCACTGTGAATGATTGTCATCTCCCATGTGATCAATGAATAACCTACTAGATGTTGAAGAAGCACATCGGTCTGTGATTATGGAAGACTGCAGGGTCTGTGTTTGACAAGTGAGATAATATAATATAATAATGTTTGACAGATTCCTGGGATCTGCAGGTTACTCCTATTCCCTTTTACCTTTGAGTTAAAAACAAAAAACCTAAACCTACTGACTCCCCTATAGACACACACACACACACACACACTGGGTAGTCATGGGTCTGAATCTAGGTCTGTCCGCAGGGCTAAGCTTAGCAAGCTGTGACCCCTCACCCCGACTTCCGCCCTTATAATTACAGGAAGTGAGCTCAGCCAATCAAAGAAGAGTTCCTGGGCGCATATTAACAAGCTGCCAGTATTTGGGGAGAGGGGGGAAGGTTATCCTCTAAGAGAATGTTTGCGAGAGATTGAGAAAGTGTTGAAGAGGGTGGGACTGTCTGATATCCAACTCAGGACGAATGAAATTAGCACTATCAGGTTATTGAGGGATATCTTTGTTCATCCCATATACTTTATAAATATCTTCAGGAGGATTTGAACACAGACCATCACATCTGAGTGAATGTGAGCGTTTCTTGTTACAGTGTTGGTTGGAGACAGATAGAGGTCCAGACAGGGGCCATAGAGACCCTAGGTGTCAAACTCATTCCACGGAGGGCTGAGTGTCTGCGGGTTTTTGTTTTTTTCTTTCAATTAAGACCTACTGTAGACAACCAGGTGAGGGGAGTTCTTTACTAATTAGTGACCTTGATTCATCAGTCAAGTACAAGTGTGGAGCGAAAACCCGCAGACACTCGGCCCTCCGTGGAATGAGTTTGACACGTGCACTAGCGTACCCAGTTTAATCTGTGGGCCGATTGTTGTCGGAGTGGATGGTCGGGGGGCCAGAACATAATTATAATAATTTGTACACTGCAAATTGACCACAACTAAGCCCAAAAAGAGATGGTATTTGAAAAGAACAATAATTTCATACCTTGATTACATTGAGACATAAGTCTCTTCTTTTAGCAGTGGGAATACTTGAACAGATTCCTGGGAACAGATTCCTGGGAACATATTCCTGGTGATTTTACAGTCTCGCAGGCCGCCTGTTGCCGACCCCTGCCCTAGCAGCCTGTGCTACTATGTCTCAGGGGCTTGACAGAGGATAGGACAACAGAAGGAGAACAGAGGATATCAGCCCTCTTTCATTGGCTTTACCAGCCACCAAAATGCCAGAACATTCTCTATTCCCCTTTGTTCCTTCTCTCTCCGCTCTTGACGAGGAGTGTGGGAGTAAATTTAAGCACAAGGGTATCTGATATCGCATGAGTACACACACACACACTTCTGAGCTCAAGAGCATCTGATATCAAGGCTTTACACAGGTATGGCTTTTCCATCCATCATCCAATCCCTTTGCTTTCTTTCTGCCAATACTGTAGCTGGAGTTCATTCCACACCCAGACACTCTGTAGTCCCCATGCACACCCGGACACTCTGAAGGAAAAACAACATATTCCTTTTCCCCTGGAAAACAATGCTCACGTCACGTCACAGACCCAGGGATGCAGTTCTCTGCTGGTATCTGCTCCAGACATTCTCATCCCTCAGGAAGTCTAGGAGACAGTTTCAGGACATAGGGAAGAGGAGGAGCCATGGAGAAGATACAGTTTAAGTCGGAGGTTTACATACACTTAGGTTGGAGTCATTAAAACTTGTTTTTCAACCACTCCACAAATTTCTTT